AATTTATTGTAGAGATGAGGTCTCACCAAGTTGCCCAGGTGGATCTCGACCCCTCGGGCCCAGGCAATCCACTCACCCAAAGCACTGGGATTACAGGCTGAGCCACCGAGCCCGGCTTATACTTTCAAGACCAAACTCAGGGTGGACGGGGTGGCTCATGCCTGTAACCCCAGCACTTTGGGAGGTCGAGGCAAGAGGATTGATTGCCTGAACCCAGGAGTTTGAGACCAGCCTGGGCAACATGGCGAGACCTCGTCTTTACAAAAAAAAAAAAATTAGTGGGCGTGGTGGCATGTGCCTATAGTCCCAGCTACTCAGGAGGCCGACGTGGAAGAATCACCTGGCCTAGCAGGTTGAGGCTGTGGTAGCCACGACCATGCCACTGCATTCTAGCCTGGATGTCAGAGTGAGACTCTGACTCAACAAACAAACAAACTCCTGCTCTTCCCCCTATAACCTGGTTGTCTCTAGTTATTTTTTCTTCGGCAAATGGCACCCTCATCCTCCAACTGTGGCCAGATGCTCAAGTGACAGCCTTTAGTTCTCCCTTTTCCTTATCCTGTGTTGAATCCTTTACAAGATTCTGTCCATTTTCTTTCCTATATAGTCTCAGATATCCACTTCTCTTCATCTCTACCACTAGTAGTCAAGCCACCTGTTGCCCAGACTACTTTGGCCCCTAATTCCTAATTGGTGTTTGGCATCCACTTTGCTCCCACCCCATCATATAGTGCAGATGGAATACTCTTTCCAAATACAGATCTAATCATGTCCCTTTCCTGCTTACCAGCCTTTAATGGCTTCTCCTCACTGTCAAGGGGAATGTTAATACTCTAGACACCTCATTCATTGGTTTTACATGCCTGGTCACATGCTCTCTGTCACTCCCTCCCACTTCTTTCCTCAAACTCTCGGTACTTCAGCCACATTGGCCGCCTTTTTTTCTGGTGGCACAGGGCCTGGTTCTTAGCCTAAAAGGCTTTGTAGTCAAGTTTTCCTCATCCTTCACTTCAAGACCCAAGCATCTTTGCTTCAGAGAAGGCTTTCCTAGCTCCTAGAATTGCTACTCAGAATGGGGTTCGTGAACCAACAGCATTCATATCACCTGGGAGATTGTTAGAAATGCAGAATGTCAGCCTCACCCAGTCCATTGAATCATAATCTGTATTTTAACTAGATATCCAGATATACGTACATTAAAGTTACAGACACTTTTCTCTAAGTGATTTGATACCTGATAGGTACTTTATTCTCTAGCCCAGGTAAGGGCTAGAAAGGAGTGTTCTGTCAGAGATAGCCAGGAAATCATTCCCTCTTCTCCCCACTGAATCACACCTTTGTCTCCTCTGCTCAGAAATTTTCCAAATATAGGAAGCCTTCTTTTTTAATGCATCAAGCAGCCTCCTGCTTCCCCTCTCCCAGCTGATTTCAGCATCTATTTAGGATTTACTATGGTGCTATCATAGCCAATATTCCCTGGAGATTGGCCTGCATTCTTGTCTGTCCCAGAATAATAATCCCTTAGTTTTATGAGGTGCTGGGCTGTTCACATGCACTATCTTGTTAGGTCCCCACAACAACCCTGTAAAACCACTGTGATCATCCTCATGTTAAAGATGAAACCAGGACTCAGAGGGAATGGCAAGATTTACACTTGACTAACCCACACAAGAACATGGCCATGTTAATCTCTTAAAATTCTTTCTGGAAGATAATGGGGAATGGACTTCAACACATAGGGGTGAATTTTGTTGGCTCCAGAATCTGGCGATGCATTTTTCTTCGAGAGTGAAATAAGAAAGGAGCCCCAAATAGAGGAGACAAACGCACAGAGGTACTAAGAGTCCAAAATTGTGAATGAAACTTGGGGTGCTCCCAATCCAGTCACCATGCTAGGGTAACATCTTGGGAAAGCAGAATTTTTTTTGAGTCGAGGTCTCACTTTGTCGCCCAGGCTTGGAGTGCAGTGGCACTATCATGGCTCACGGCAGCCTCCACCTCCTGGGCCCAGGTGATTCTTCTGCCTCAGCCTCCTAAGTAGCTGGGATTTCATGTGTGTGCAACCATACCCAGCTAATTCTTTGATTTTTTTTTTTTTTTTGTGGAGACAAGCTCTCACTATATTGCCCAGGCTGGTCTCAAACTCCTGGGCTCAAGCAATCCTCTTGCCTCAGTCTCCCAAAATGTTGGAATTAAAGGCATGAGCCACTGGGTCTGACCCTGGAAAGCAGAATTGAAGCAATGGATCTGTGGTTCGGACTTCTTCCCACGTGATAAATGGCTGGAGTGGACTCCCATCTAAGCCACAGTCTCATCTATTTCACCAAAGTTCTGGAGACCATGGACTTTCAACACATGGCATTCATCTGCCACCTCAGATCCTCTAAATGATGATTTGTCCAGAGAGGCGATCAGCAGGAAGCCTGGGAAGCAGAGTGGAAGGGCTAGACTCTCTTGCGGTCACCTAAGGAAGAGGGTGCCCAGGCTGGCCAGCAACAGTCTGCGGGTGACCAGAGCTGTCCTGGGGTGCAAAGTTGAGGCTGGACTTTATCTGGTGATCTCCCCAGGACAGCACATCTTGAGCCCCTAGTGTGGCCAACTTCTTTCCCTATCTATACCTCTCTAATGATACCATTTGACAATGAAGTCTTAGAGGAAACTTCCAGGTCAGTTATCAGTGTCTGCCTTCTTGGAACATTAGTCCTGAGCCTCTTCTTGGTGTTTTCAGAGCCTCTGGCCATCTCTTGGGCCACAGGGCCGGAAGGATAGCCCAGGGCAACCCCCTTGACAGCCAGCACAGTAGCCTGCAATGCCTGGCCCAGCGTTGTTCCTGCAGCCCTGATCTGTGTTCATGCAGGTGTTCTCAGAGCCTCTGGGTCCCAGCTCAGCTATCACCTCCCAACCAGCCAGTCTAAAGGCTCCTTCACTGGTCTCTCCTTCACCTACTTGGTCTCTTCACATCACCCTGTTGGTTTCCATCACCAGCAACTGGCAAATCTGTAGTAGGCTTGTTTTTTTGTTTACTTATTTTAGCCGACTTGTTTCTGTCTATCCCAGCCTCCCTAGAACTGTACATTCACAACATCACTTCAGAACTGTGCCTTTGGTGTCATGGGAGCAGAGAGCCTGTCCAGTGAATGGTTGCCAAAGAAGGAACAACATCTCCCCGAAGTCCCTAATGGCACCCTGTTCAGTGTACATCCCATAGGTATGGTGAGAGGTGCCAGACCCACCCCCTCCAGGTTCCCAAGAAGCGGAGGCAGGGAAGCAGACAGTAGGGTTTATTGAGGTGGATGTCCACACCTGAGTCCATCTCCCTCCTGCCTTCCGCGAAGAGAAGCCCACTGGGCCCTCTCAGACTTCCACATTCTAGGCAGCCCATGTCTTGCCCTCACTCTCAGCTAACAGTGTGGTGCTGATGTTCTAGCGTCAAGAAACAGGAAAAGAGCTCCACGGGGCCCCAGGTTTCTGTCACCTGATTCTCTGTGTGGCCAAGTTTCCAGAGGTGGGTATCAGAGCAGTGACTTCCACCCTAGGCTTAGGAGAGTCCAGTTCCTCCCTACCCCAGAGACCTAGTGCCTGCCCCTGACAATGCAGGGAATAATATTAAATATAAATAATTTATATAAAATGGCTCATACAAAAAGCTGTGGGTTTGGGGAAGGAGACACCTCTGTGAGAGGCTGAGATGACCAGAAGGGGCAGGAAAGGGGAAATACACCACCAACTCTCCTTGTCCCTACAATAAAGCCCTCCAGCCACCCAAGGCCTAGAAGGGGGCTTTGGCAGGCAGGGGAAGGGCAGAGGTGTGCCAAGAGACCCTCAGGGGGCCAGGCTGGTGAGCAGGGTGGTGAATTGCAGGGCCTGCCCTGCCAATTCCGCGACACACTGCGCCATCTCTTGGGCTGCAGGGCTGGATGGATAGCCCAGGGCAGCCCCCTTGACAGCCAGCACAGTGGCCCGCAATGCCTGGCCCAGCGCTGTTCCTGCAGCCCCAACTTGTGCGCGTAGAGGGGCAGAGGCTGCCACCCGACCCAAGGTGTCCCCAACAAACACCAGGCGGTGAGCAGCCACCACCACCTTCTTGCCGTGGGGTACAAAGAGACGCGGGGGCTGGTTCGTCTGGGTGCTGGACATCAGGGCTGCCACGGCCGCCTGCAGCGCTGAGTAGTGGCTCTGGCACTGCCCTGCATAGAACTGCAGGAGTTGTAGGTCTCCAGTGGACAGAACCAGTGGCTCCCCTGGGGACAGGGCCTCCTGAGGGACAAGAGGAGTAGTTAGTGGGGACATTCTCATCAGTGCCATTTCCTCCCTCTCTCCCTTCCTCTTTCATCGCTTCCTTCCTTCCTTCTTTCCTTCCTTCCTTCCTTCCTTCCTAAGGGCAATCCCTTTAGCTCTTACCTTGGCCCATCAGAAAACTTAGATTTCTAGAGAGTGTGGCAGTGAAGTGCCCATACTCGCTGTCAGATAGATCTGGATTCAAATAACCTCAAACTTGACTTTAGACAAGTTTCTGAACTTCATTTCTTTATCTCTAAGACAGGAACTCCAGAACTGCACTGTCCAACATAAACATAATGTGAACCACACACGAAGTTTTAGATTTGTTAGTAGACACATCAGGAAAAGTAAAAAGAAGTCAGTATAATGTATTTTATCTGACTCCAACTATAAAAAATGCTACAATTTCAACAAGTACTCAATATGAAAATTAATGAGTTTTTTTTCCATTCTAAGTCTGCCAAATCCAGTGTGCATTTTATATTTACAGCACATTTCAGTTCAAATTAGCTGTATCTCGAGTGCTCACAGTCACATGTGACCAGTGGTTACTGTACAGGACAGTGCAGTTCTAGGATGCGCCTCGCAAGGCTGCAGTGAAGATTACCTGAGATAATACAGAAAAAGGGCTTAGCACAATGCATTGCATAATGTGAGCACCATGAGTATTAACTGTGACTGGGAATCAGTTCTGATGCCAGGTATCAGTAAAATGCTTGGCACAGGGTCTGGCATTTGATAAATACCTGATAAATGGTAGCTACTGTGTTAGGACCATTCCAGACAGGGTTGAGGAAACCACTTCGCTTTCCTGAGGCCCAGAGAGATTAGCTGATGGCTTCAGAGCCCCTGGCTTCTTAGGAGTGAAGCCAGGATTAGAAGCCAGGTCTCTTAGGAGCCCAGGAATTCATGGTTGGAAGGAGCCTTAAGTCACCTGGCCCACCTCTGACCCACAGCTCAGAAACTCTTTCTGCTCCCATGGCTGCTTGGTTTTCTGACTCCTCTCCAACACATTCTTTCCCCTCTTTCTGAATTCCTGACATCCTCTTCCAAGTTCAGCTCCTGCCTGCTGAGTTCTAACTCCTCTAGACTCTGACCCTGCTTCTCTGAACTCTCACCCCATCCTAACCATTTCCCTTGATGGTTCAGCTAGGAATACTTCTCCCAAGCCCCGTTCCTCTCTCCCAGCCCCGTTCTCCAGCACCACCCCCACCAGGGTCACCTGCTGCGCCGGCAGCCCCCTCTCCAGCAGTGCAGGATCCCCTGCGAAGGCCTTATCCAGGGGCCTAGATCCCTGAGCTTTATCCACGCCCTGCAGGAGGGGATCAGGTCTCAGTGCAGGGGTGGGGGAGCAGGACGGGGTGGCCTCTGCAACCTTCCTACCCCTCCCCAGCTCCCCTTCCTTCCCAAGAGCACTCTTGCCATCAGAGGCCGCAATCCCTGACTCCAGGTACGAGAGAGCTCTGGGCCCCAGGCTGGGTCCAGGGGAGCAGTATGGTGCTGGTACAAGTGTTGGGGCCAAGTCCTGGGGTCCTGGGCTGCTGGGTAGAGGGCCAGGGGGAAAGGAGGGCAGAAAGGAGGCAGGGAGGCTCGGTCTCTGTGCCCCCACACTTCTCCCTCTGGTTTCCCTGGGGCTGCCGAGAGGAGCTTACCTTCAGGTGGACATAGTCATACTCCTCGGCCATCGGAATGCCCTCATACTCATTGTGGTGTCCTGCTGGGTCGTCCTCCACCTCCCTGCCCTCTGGATCCTCCTCGAACTTGGGGCCCCCATAGCCAGGCAGGCGGGGTGGAGGTGGTGGCAGAGGCCGGTCCTGGATGCTGCCCTTACGGCTGGGGGCAGGAGAGGGAGCAGGAGAAGGGCTGGGGGCCTCAGGGACTGGCAAGGCAGGCAGAGGGCGGCGGGACAGGCTCTCAGCTGAGGGTAACCGGGGCCTTTGTGGTGGGGGGGGGCTTCTGGCCAGAAGCTGGGCCAGGGTGTCCGGGTCATTGGAGGCTGAGGCTGCTGGGGGCTCTGGAGAAGGGGGAGCCTCTGGCCCCAGCAGGGGCACATCGTAGATGCCCTCGTCAGGAGCCCCGCCTTCCCCATCTGCCAGTAGTTCCTCGGGTGCTTCGTACAAGTTGAGGAGGGCTGATGCCCGCTTCAGGTTGGAGGGGGCAGCGTAGAGGGGGGGGCCTGGTTCCCGGCCCCCTTCCCACTCCAGATCTGGCTCTCTCTCTGTCGGTGGCTTTGGGGTCAGAGGCACATCATAGGGAGCTTCATCCTCTCCAGGGGACATCCTCTCCTGGGCCAGAGGGTGGGAAAAGGAGGTGGGGCAGTCATAGGGGCCACTGGAGGGAACCCGGAGGGCAGTGGGGGGCACATCGTAGACCTGGAGAGAGGAGCGGTGAGTTATCCATCAGCTCAGCGGTGAGTCCTCCCTGGGAGTCATTTGTCCTCCACCCAATATCTGCATGAACCTCTAGCCCTCACCTCCAAGACATCTCCAGAGGCAGCCAGCTGGGTCCCACTGCCTCTGGGAATCTTATAGATGGGGTCAGAGGCGGGTCCAGCCGGAGGTCGGGAGGCAGGACAGGGCCGAGCTGAGGGTGGTACCACATACACCTGGGGGATCGAGATAGGGGGGAGGGTCGGAAGAGGTTGGGGGGCAGTGAACCAGAAAATGTTTGCGTGGGCGGAGCTTAGAGACCTTCCACCCCGCCCCTTGTATTGAGAGAGAAACAGCACAGAAAGGATTGGTAGACAGACTTCATATCCCACTCTCACCTCCTGGTCCTCACTGCCGTGATCTGGGGCTGGATATGGTGAGCCAGGTTGGGCTGGGGGCGCTGGAGAGAGGCTGGTCTTGGGTGCTGGGCCAGCAGGAAGGAGCTTCACTCTGTTGGCGGGCACAATGCCCTGCTGGCCATGCAGGGAGCAGAGGCACCAGCCATCCAGCCCGCCAGCACCCTCTCTCTGCAGTACCCGTAGAACGTCCCCTCGGCGGAAAGACAGCTCCTGGGGGGACTCAGCGGTGTTGTCATACAGTGCCCGGGCAAGCTGGGCCTGGTGGGTAAGGTGGGAGCGGGGAGAAAGGTCTTCACACACATATCAGGTCATGTCACCCCCTACCCAAAGCCCTTCAGTGCACCCCATTTCCCACAAGCGAAACACCTGAACTCCTGGTACAGTTCTTCCTGACTGTGCCTCCTTGTCTCCAGCTGCATCATCTGCACTCTCCCCTTCTCTTCGACTCCTTGAACCTGACAAACTCTTTCCTGCCTCTAGGCCTTTGCACTTGCTGTTCCCTCCACCCAAATGCTCTTCCCCCGACTTCATCCGACTGGTCCTTTATCACCTTCAGTTTTGCTCAAATGTCTCCTCTTCAGAGAGGGCTTTTCTTCACTCTGCTGCCAACACCATTCTGTCCGTCTCCTCCCACTGTTTTCTCCATAATACTTTATACTATTTGTCTATTTACTTTTTTATTATTGACTTCCTCCCTTACAATGCCCTGTGAGAAGCTATCTTCCTAGACTCTGCAATAAGGCCCGACCTGGAATTGGTCTTCAAGACACATGTTGAGTGAATTTCTTCCAAGACACATGCAGAAGCTCTGCTGAGGTCTCCTGGAGAATCTCCTTTTACCTTCTCTCTGCTCCCCAGTCATTATCCCTCATAAGCAAAGGTTAGGTCAAGCAGCTGCAGAGACCCCTCATTCTGAGAGAGACTGGGAGGTGCCTAGTCCAGTCAGAGTGCCAAAGCATAATAAGAAACCAGAAATGAAGCAATCATTTTGCTCTCAGTTTGAATAAATAAGGTTCTACAAGAAGGCACTGAGGTCACCACAAAGAAGAGTATATACGCTCCTGTGTATGTGTATGTGTGGGAGGGGGAGGGGGATGGGAGACCAAGCAAATGCAAACATTTATCAGCCTGTCTCCAGTCCTGTTTGGGGACATCTAAGCTTCTTCCATTGAGGGTCACATGCTCAGGAAATAAGTCACGGGTATCAAGTGCAAATGATGCGTCTGGATACTGTGCAAATCTTTGCATTAATCAACTTATCTCATTTGAGTTCTCACAACAACCTTATGAGGCAGGAGCTATCATCATCCCCATTTTGGAAGGAAAACTGCAACAGAGAAGTTAGTGCTCTGCTCAGTGACATACAGTTAACTGATATGGTTGGTAGAGCAGGATTTGAACGCCGCGCTGTTTGATTTCAGAGCCTGCACACTCAATCACCTGCTCTACTGCCTCCCCATAATCACAAATATATGAACTACTTTTTAAAAAAATTAGTAACAGTGGTTGAGTCGAGAGGGTCTAAAAACCAAAGGCAAGTCGGGTGCCTATGAAGGCTTCCTACACTCATTTCCCTCTCTATGACCCTGCACGGTGCTCTTCCTCCATAATATCCTTTGGTAGACTCAAGCTTAAGCCACTCAAAATGTGACGCTATATTCCGGTTGAGATATAAACGAGTATGTTAAACCACTGTGCCTGCTGATAGGATCCCAGGCAGTGCAGGCTTACACGCAGTGTGAGAGAGCAGCTAGTTAGGCACTACTGGCCAGGTAACCAAACATCTCAAACTAAAGACCTCAGACAGATGGGGAGAAGAGGGATGCCCTGCTCAGCCAGCGTGAGTGCATGTTCTCCTTGGCCAATGTTTCCCTCTGGTGGTGAGGTTGTCCAGCCCTTCCTGGCAGGGTGCTTTTAACAGCAAACTGACTCCTCCTCTTGCCCGATTCCAAACTCATCAAACCATTTTCTGATTATATTTTGGCTTCTAAAGGTATTGTCCTATACAAAGAAAACATGCTAACCGGATGACATGAATTCCTGGTTAGCTCTGCACTTTTGTTTCTAATTTTGAATTATAAATTGGTGTTTGGGATCTAGTCAGGGAGTTAAAAGTACAGTTCCGGAGGCAGACAGCCCTGGGGTTGAAACCTGGCTCTGTCCCTTTTGTTTTTAAATTTTATTTAAACATGTATGTATTTATTTATTTGGAACAGGGTCTCTCTCTGTCACCCATACTGGAGTACAGTGGCACAATCATGGCTCACTGCAGCCTCAAACTTCTAGGCTCCAGCAATCCTCCTGCCTCAGTCTCTTGAGTAGCACATGCCATCACACTAGGCATTCTGTTCCTTTCTAGTTGGGTGACTCTGGGCAGATTGTTTAACCTTTCTGAGCCTCAATTTCCACCTTTGTAGAATTCCCTATCCATGTCCAAGTATCCAGTTTCAGATATTAACAGTACTGTCCTCACAAGGTTGTTGTAAGGACGGGATGAGATAGCGCTTCAAAAAAACAACAGGCTGGGCACAATGGCTCACACCTATAATTCCAGCACTTTGGGAAGCCAAGGCGGGAAGACTGCTTGAGCCCAGGAGTTCAAGACCAGCCTAGATAACATAGCGAGACTTCCTTTCTACAAAAAAAAGAAAAAAAAAAAAATTAAAAATCAGTTGGGCCTGGTGGGGTGTGCTTATAGTCCCAGCTACTTGGGAGGCTGAGGCAGAAGGATCACTTGAGCCTGGGAGGTTGAGGCTGTGATGAGCTGTGATAATGCCACTCCAGCCTGGGTGACAGAGTGAGACCTTAACTCAAAAACAAAACAAAACAAACAAAAATGACAAAGTTTAGCACAGGCCGGGTGTAGGAAATACTAAATAAATAATAGCTGTTATTAGGCTCCTGTGAGTTCAATGAACATAAATACTGCTCCCCCCAAGGAGAATTTACATCCTGGGACTAGCAGGATGACCAGCTGGCTCCTGAAACCAGCATGTCTATGCACAGTGCTCCCGGAGGTACTCTACCTCCAAAGGACTCCTTCTCAGTTCTGAGCTAGAGTTTTCTGCCCATCATACAGATTGAGAAACTAAAATGAACTTGGTCTGAGAGGGAGCCAAAATAGAGCCCGTCCTCAAGGGATATGGGCAGACATGGTGTGGCTCTGTGCGTCTCTTTCCAGCCTCTCAATTTTCCTTCCCAGAGTCCCCATAGAGAAGGACTCAGAAGGCAGGTGGCAGCTTCACTTTCCCTGGGAATCTGAAGCAGGACTTCGGGAAGAGTAGGAAGGAGCCCGAATGCCAAGAGTGCAGGACAGAAGGCAGAGGTGGGGCTGTGGGGCCTCCTCCCTGTGTTAGGTTTGAATTCTGTTCAATGGGGCCAAAGCTCTGGGCCCTGCAGTTGCCAGAACCTAGGCCAGTGTTGCTGATTGACGATGGGTGTGGCCACCCCACTCTACCCCTTCCTCAGGGGCAGCTGACTTGGGAGGGAATGGTTGGCTTAATGGGGGCGGCAGTGGGCCACTGTGCTCTCTGGGAGGCCTCCTCCCACAGTCACATCTTGCCAGCTGTCTCCTCCCTTTGTCCCCAGTCCCCGGAAAGTGGCCTGAGGCTGGCTGACATCACCTCCGCCCTCGATTTCTCTTTCTCCCTGCCTGAGCTCCCTTCTTTGCTCTAAAGATGGGCCTCCCTGGGTCCTTTGGTCTCTCCCATTTTCCTTGAGCCACTCGGTCCTTTCGGCCCCCTTCCGACCTTGTTCTTGCCTCCCAATCCCAAGCCCATGCCAGCCACCAGTGGCCATCTGTTCTCGCCCTGAAAAGAGCAGACAGAGCTGGAGGGAGTTCACTCGCCCCCTCCCCTCCACCCAGGAGCAGCCACTAGAAAGAACAAGGAGGCTGGGGAGGGGGAGAGGAGGAGGGGCGAACCCAGAATCAGAAGGAGCTGGGGATGAGGAGAGGGAGAAGGGAAACAAAAGTGGTAGGAGGGGGACGCAGCCTCCTCGAGAAGAAAGGGACCAAGGAGATAGACAAAGGGAGGGCAGAAATAAGAGTGACGCGAGCGCGGGGCCGGCCCCGGAGGCCTCTGCCCGGCAGCCTCCTCTCCCTGGCGGACTCACCGACGTGGCGATGGCCATGGCCTTGGCCTCTCGCGCAGCCTGCTTCAGGCCAGGCTCGGTTTCGCTGACTTCAGCGTTGGCTGCCCCGAACCATGGTCCACGGCCTCCAGGCGAGGGGGCCGCCCCCGGCTGTGGCGCCTGAGTCGTGGCCTCCGCCAAGGTTGGAGGAGGAGAAAGCAAACCCACAAAACTTCCCAAATGGGAGGCAGCCTGGCCAGGCAGGAGGAGGAGCGGGGCGGGCCGGGGCGTCGCTGCGGGATCTCATCCAGGGCGCGCACTCTGGACGGTCCCCGCGGCTTCCCGGGGGCCGCCGGCTCGGCCAGGGCCCGGAGCCGCCCGCCCTAGGCCGCCGAGGCCCCCCGGGCCCGCA